GCGAAAAGTGATCGTCATAATATCGTCAGGTAATAATTATTCTCATAATTCTAATTAATTCATGCACATAATCATCTAAGTGTAATAATCACGACACTATATCGATTTTTAATTTATAAAACAGTCGCGACTATTGTAAAAGATAATCATATTCACTGCCGATTAAATATTATCTATACATAAATCCATATATAAATACTTTTTACTGATTACAATAGATATAAATATTACAATTATTAATTATTTTAATTGATTCATAGACATAATCTTTTAAGCATAATAATAGCAACTATAATTTTTAATCTGCAAAATAATTATGAGTGATCAGTCGTAATAGAAAGTAATCGCAATCACTGTGGATTATGCAGATAAAATAATATCAATCTCTAAATATGTATAATGTTATTAATTATACTAAACAATCATACTAAACAATATTATTAATTATACTAAATATGAAGACTGTCGATTATGACTTCACATAAATATGATAAATTCTAATTTATGGATGCGCATAATCAAATTATGGAAAATTTGTCGTATGTACATGATAATAATACTGCGATCGCACGAAGCTTACTTGAAACTATCGCAGATTTCACTTGTATATTATTATAGTTCTCCAATAATCTTCTTGGAACCGCCTATACATTTTCACGCAATATTTATTCTCATCAATCTGAAAACGGAAGTAAATATGATAAAACAAGCGAAATCATAAAGATCATAAACTATTTCAATTTCACATTTTCGATCATCAGAATGATTGTACGCGATTACAGCTATCTACAGCTAATGAAAAAATTGAAAAATAACTACCGCTTACCTTTACATACTTCCTCAAATTCATTTACGCAATTTTTTTACGCAATTAATCAACGGTATACCTAACGCTACGATCACACGTAGTACACTTATAAATCTGTCATGTATTTCGTATTATTGGCTAATGTCCGCGGAAATATAATAGAATATAATAAAATTAATATAACAGAATATAGTAAAATTTTATTATCACTCAATCACCGTCTGACAGCAGTCCTTTCTTGACACGCAAATGTCCGACATTTTCCCCCGAAACTTTTTCGTTTTGTCTATTACAATGCCATTAGCACTCCGTTACTTCGAACTGATTCGCCTACTCGTCATACATGTCAAAGAAACGCGGCTAATTTACTATCGTTTCAGGTTGATCGTCACTCGCCTGCACTTTGCGCGACTCTCTCGAAACACTTATCGCGTCTACGAAGCGTCCAGAACAAGAACAGACACGAAGCGCAAGAGACATGGCCGCCATTTGTGACGCTTAGTCGAAATGAATTCCGATTTATCGAGAAAATTTAAAATGTATAGCATAACGTAATTACGGCAACCTTGAAGCGACGAATTCAGGGGCACGCGGTTGGTACCCCTCACTCGCCGTCCGCCGTAAACGCCAATAGGATGAGCGATACCATATTACTGCGTCATCACGCATCAGCGTGAAGTGCTGTCGCGAGTTGGATTTCGCGATTTTTCCACGGGGATCGCGGAGCTTCTCGATGCGCGTCGCTTTAGTAACGGGAAACAATCGCCATATTTTTCGCGCCGAATTTCGTTCAATCGAGCATCAACGATTGTTATTTAATATTTCTTCGGTCCGCGAGTGGACGAAGATGTGAGAATAGATGAAGATACGAACGCGGACGTTCGAGCGACAACAATGACGATATGTATGGTGAGTGTGTTTTTTCTGTTACAACCTTCCGATCAGTGAATTTCTCATCTCGAAAAAACAACAATTCCCCACTCCTCCAGTTTTCAAGAAATGTGTGATCGTGATGTAAACAAAAAAAAAAGGCGGCGAAGTATAAGTACAGTAGTCGCGGTAGGTGGTGGGAAAAGGTAGGGTAGAATGAAGTAGGGGAAGGATATGGAATATTCGGGATAGAAGTTAGTGTCGCGCGCGCGATAAAAGCCGTTCTAAGTAAAGCGACACATGTATCGACAACCGACGTATAAAATTTGGGAGCTGGGGCTGCAACATCGACGACGACGACGACGACGACGACGACGACGTCGAACATATTCTATCAGTCTGATAGCTCTCGGCGGGATACTCCAGGGCGGAAGGTTAAGGTGGGGACGGTTTGATATCTAATATCGGCCGCGCGCCTTTATGCCCTCAGTATCGGTTTATGTTGCTCGGGTAATCTTCGCCTCCTTCGGCATCACGGTTAAACTTTCCGCACGTAAGCGCCGTGCGTCGCGCGATAAAGAGAAGAGAGAAAAGAAAATAGGAGAGCCACGGGGAACCAGCCGGAATCGGGGATAGGACGACGTTGTCTCTCTTCAATTATTTAGAGAAGGAATTAATTAACGGTACGAACAAACCCGAGCGAAAGACAGAGTTTGGAGTAGCTCCGAGCGAGGCTCTCCGGCAGGCTTTAAATCAGACGGGAGAATCGTGAGGGATTACGCGCGCGAGTCTCTCGTCGTTGTCTCCCGGCGCGGAGAACGTGGAATCGTCTCGCGAGTGATCCCCGCGCGCAGTTTTAGGGCTACCTGAAAGAGACGACGGGCTATTTAACATTCCGCCTCATTTCCCACCGTTTCTCGCCTCCCTCGCCACCGCCACCACCGCCGTTCCCATCGGCTCCCGTCCTCGTCGTTCCGAGGAAATGTTCGCGCTCGATGCGAAAATTGCCTCGACAAGAATTATTGACTATAAATTACTCGTCTCGCTACCCCTTAGCCTCGCCGGTTCCGGGCGCTCTCCGCCGTTACTCATGCAAATGACGGCAAAGCCCGCGGGTTCCGAACGCCCCCTCCCGCCGCTACTCGCCACTTACTCACCGTTACACGGAGATCTCGGCGGAGAACGAGCGGGTGAGAAAAGGCGCGTCCCGATGCCGATACCGGGGAAGGGAAGGGGGAGGGGAGGAGGGGGGAAGGAGGCGCGAATTGCCGCGAATTTACATTTTATTGCGCGCGCCCGAGACAGACTGCCGGCTCCTTCGCGTTCGGATCTTTATTCGTTTCCTATTTACCGGCGTTGCCGACGTCGTTCGACACGAACGCGTGCTCGTCGGGAGTCACGTATTGTCATTCGTGCCGCGCGCGAGAAGAACAGCCCTCGATCTTCAGCGAACGTCAAGCGCTGTAACGATCGCTGTCGAAGAGGGATCGTTCGCGATCGAACGTGTCCCTTCGATGTTCCTCTCGAGAGATTCATAAATAATATCCGGACATTCTCGTGTCGGAAATAATTTTTCACGCGGCGGAGACGGAAGATTATAATGGTCGTCCGGTCCGGTGTATCTCGTGGACGTCTCGACGTTTCGAGAAACACCGTGGATAAATAGCTGGGACAAATAAATTTCGATCCATTGTTCCCTTTATGGCGAGAAAAGTCGCGTCGTGTCGCGTCGCATCGCGTTACGTCACGTCACGTCACGTCACGTCACGTCACGTCACGCCACGCCGGGTCGGCGGCTATGCGGTATATCCGCAGCTAAATTGAATTTTTTTTCAATTCATTCCACTTCGCGCGCGGCCGAGACGCCGGTGTAGTCAATGGGTATCTGTGCGCGACAGCCTCACCTATTCGCGGTAGATTCTCATTATTTTTAAATTGGAAATGAGAAGTGTGCACGAGAGTAGTACGGTCGAGAGCACCTTCCGTGCCCGGGTGGCGTCGCAACGCGTCTCGCCGGTGCATTATTCCACGCCGATGCCTATAACCGGTGGAGGTAGAGAGACGCAGAAATTAATTTAATTACGGGCCGGGTGTCGATAGCAGTCACCGTTTCTTCCAGTTAAAGAGCGAGCAAAAAGAACGAGGTTCTCCAAGAGCTTTGACCTATGGGGATTTTTCCTTAAAATTCATGGGGAAAAAAGCTCATCGTGCTCGGCGCAATCTTTTCCTTTCTCATGCTAAACATATCGATTGCTAAGCCAGAAATGAAGTCTTTTAGTACGTAAGGAAGTTAACCGAAGGGTTATTATTTACTTGCGATATTGGAACTCATCGCGCGAAAATCGCTATTTAATTTAGAAAACTAATTTCATAGTTAGAGTTTGCTCGAGATAACAGAAAATCGATTCTAATTATATCAAAAAATGTCCAATTAAATACAATACAAAAGAAATCCATGTATATAAATAATATGCAAGTATCAACAATACGGTAATTCGGTAATGTGTTGAAAAAAGGAATATTTGACAATCGCATGCTTTTAAATTAGAAAAAAAAACAGTTCTAGCCGTTCTAATGGTTCTTAAAAACGATTATGTTTAATCTAAAATATTTACGAAAACATAGAAAAGAGATATGACGTTTTTGGACTTCGAGTAAAACTCATTTATTAAATTGGAGCCAAGATACAGTCTGTAGCCGAGGCAGTACTCTTACAATTATAGGATGGTATCTATATCGCCTATCTGTTGAAAAATAAAAATTTTACTATCGTTAATAATAGTATAAATTGAGAGCATTAGGTATTTCTCGGTAGGTCGCACTTAAAAATAGACTTTTTCGTTTATAATATTGAATTTAATAGCGCACTAGTTGCACGAATTGAAAATTATATGCAATAATGTCAAAGTCTTTTTAAAAAGAGATAAGATGTCCTGAGAGAGAGAGAGAGAGAGAGAGAGAGAGAGAGAGAGAGAGAGAGAGAGAGAGAGAGAGAGAGAGAGAGAGAGAGAGAGACAGAGAGAGAAAAAGGGAGAGAGGGAACGTTGTACAGCTTGTTACAACAAAATCGGCCTCAAAGTCGAACCATATGAAAGAAATTTCTCCCGTATTTATTTTTTTTTTTAATCTCAATTAATTAATGACTAAACAAATTATACGTTAGTGTACAAAAACTGATTAAATTTGTAATAAAAGATATCTGTTATATCTTTATTTGCAGATATCTAAAAGAAATCTAAGATAATATTTCGTTTGTCTCTGTCCAGCCCAACGATAATCTCTCTAGCATCATAGATCGTGTTTGAAATTAATTAATCGTGTATAATATGTGAGCTATATATTTATCAATAATTTAGACATCTGTACATTGTCTACGATTCTATATTGTACGCTATCACTTATACAATATGTTATTAATCAGATATAATAATGAAAACAATATAGAAAACAAGTTTTCTTTTATCTCAATAGAAAACTTGATTCAGTTAGAATAAATATGGGCTAGAAAGAGAAAGAGAGAGTTAAAAATTTTGCTTTATAAACAGCATTGTTGAGTTTCAAGACCATAATACATAAAAGCCATAAGCGTAAAATTAGAGCAATAAGCAAATTAATTACAATCGCACATTGCCGACCTCATGTTCATTATCGAGGCTCATTTTATGTACTATGGCCTGTAAAGTAGTAGATCACTATTATCAGCATTTTTTTTTAAATATCATTGAATTCTTTGATAAATAATGAGAAACTATCGATGAATATATAATCTTTGTGCAACGAATGTTAGAATATATTACTGCAACATTTAAATAATAATAGAATATTTCCCTGTTCTTTGTAACTAACTCACATTAAACTACCTATTCTATTGTTACAACGATAAACGGTCCTTCATTGAAAGAATGACACCTCTCTCTTCTAATTTGTATATTCCGGCATTCGTAATTCGGGCATTAACAAATCTCTCCGCTGCTTAGGATACTTTATATTTTATTTTGAATGTATCTTATCTACCATTGAACTGCTTACATACTGAGTGTCGGGTATTCGAGGAATAATAATTCTATATATAGACGTAAGATAGTGGAACGTCTGTCAGAGTTAGCAGTTTAGGTAAAACGGGATCGGAATTCAGGATCAACGCTAATCTGCGCACTCTGACAAACGTATTACAAATTCAGCATCAATACGGATTTCAACTACAGTTCGCACACTACAATTCGCTCGACGAACGAGCTCGCGCTCTTTTGTACTAGTAATCGATAGTGAAGACATCCCGTGATAAGAGTGTGTAATGGAACAACGGATTTTCTATATGTGTATATTGTCCAAAGGGAAATTATATCATGAGCTCGAATTCGAAAAATGCGTTCTAAGTAATCTTCTGCGGGCACATTATTAAGTATACGAGTGATTAGTACCATTAACATCAACTATACAGTTATTGCTATGGAAGCAGTACGACAATTCAGAGCCCCGATAAATTCAAACGAATTTATCGCATACATATATATATAAACATACATATACATTTGACCAGATATATATGTATATATTCACTCGTTTACTTGTATATACGCATATACATATCTGGTTACTTATATATGTATATTTTATATGTTATATATTGTCTTTAATTAATCTAAACTATGTGTAGTGCTAAGATTACATTAGCTAATTCATGTCACATCACGTTAGACATGTCGTAAATCCAATTGAACTTATCGTCGGCGTTGAAATAGCGTAACTCATAATACATTGTTATATAAACAGCTTTATAACGCGAAATCTGTCCTACTTGTATTCATCTCTTTATATATACATAGCACGTCTAGCGATAACTACAATCGATAACAGCTAATACATTCTTATCAGCGTGGCGAGTATAGCAGCTTTTGCGGCCTGCGCAACACCCGCCATTCTGGATAAAATATATTTCATCGCATTCAACTTTTATCCAATATCCTCTTTCTCACCGAGTAATTAACTACGTTTATTGTCAATACATTCGGAATAGTGTCGCTGTGCCGTCTTGCCTGCATTCATAACTTTCGTAAAATATCCACAATATCGTTTCTGTCGAGCTTAACAAATTTCTCATTTGCATCTCGTGTAACTCGATAGACTTAAGAATCTTAAGAATCGCTCTGGTCATTCGTTTTATTTCTTAACGCATATTTATGAAAGTCTCTACGATCGTATAACGATAAATATACTTAAATATAAGTCAGCTTATAACGTATACACGATTATAAAATTTACATCGCGGAATAAGAATTATTAGTCAATAACAACTCTTCTCTAGAATGTTTTACGTTGCAAGTTTCAATGGCATTGTTAATATATGAGTAGCCATGCGTATTATCTTGTTTCAATAATATATATTTTCTTACATAACACATATATATAATATTAATCTAATATAGGAGAACTCATGTAATATATGTATAAGTACTATTTTTAATTCATAACCAATGCGATTCTTAGTGTTTCATTCATTTCCATCTACACAAAAGTGCTTAAATTCTGCAACAATGTGACATTCATAAATACTTATTGGCAATTCTTTGCTGAGAAGCAAACAAGGCAAGGCGCCATTAAACACGTTCACAGGACGTCCGAATGAATTAACGAGTGCCACCGATTAAAAGGCGAATTATTACATAATTGCTTATATTGACTCGCGTATATTTTCTGTTTCGCGTTTCTTTGCGTATAAGTACTTTATATTTTAAATAACTAATACGTACATGTCACATCCGCGCAAATGTATCACGGCGTAGCCGCGGCCTCTACCTCGCCGACATTCCTCTTTTATTCATCCGTACGCAAAGATTTACAATTATACATTTGAGAGATCACCGCCATACTTATCCGCTTTGAAATATTTATATATATATTTTTTTTTATTTTCGCGTTTATCTCGCGTTTGACAAAATGTGCGTGTGTACCATGCACATCGCACAGGTGATCGCATTTTTTATCCGCTTTATCTCTCTCCCTTCGTGTAAATGTTTCCCATGTGTGCGTGTGTGAGGATCGTAATATAGCTAGCTTTTTAGTTTCTTAATACGACAAAACTCATAGATGAAACACGAATGCTACATAACTAAAGAAACGTGCGTCGTCCCATTGGACTCGAGCTGAATTGCGTTCTCATAGCTGATACCATTTCTTGTCTTTGTACTTGAGCATCAGTCCGTGAGCGCCCTGCGAAAAGTTCTCGGCTTCCGACATCATGCGCGCGCTCCGTTCTTCGAGCTGTGACAGTTTTTCACCGCGCTCCACGACCATCTGGTGTGCCATATTTACCTCGCCTGTTGCGGAAGAGACCCGCTCTCGGATAGCTTCGTTTGGTCCAGGAATATGTTTCGCCACTGAGCGCGACGCACGACCGCTAGATTCACCGACTGCAATCAACATCGGTAATATAATTAATTAATTACTCCATACTCATTTTTTTCTCCTTTAATTTGTTAAAAATATTTTTACTTACACAGCTCTTCTCGATCGAGACTCCTCGAACCACCACCAAATAAACCTTTGAAGAAACTTTCTTTAGGCGGTTCTGGCATATCATGGCCGATGAACAAATCACCCATCATCTCTGTCAATTCACCGCTAATCAAATAAAAATATAGTTAAACTTCAAGTCAAATTTAGATAGGATGCATCAATATAAATTCAATATCCAACGTAAGATTATAATTTATTCTTTATTGAATTAAAAATAATGTTAATGAACGTGAAGCAATACCAAAATTCACTCGAAACGGAGAACTTCTGTATTTCCATCGGTGATGTGAGATATAAACCATGACCTCGATTGCTGAAGCAAAGCGTCTTTGCGATCCTGCAAAAAAGATGCACAAGGCAGCTTTACTGTGGTGCGTGGTTTTATAGATTACAGGTTGCATATAAAATAACAATATCGGGATACAACTGTAAAAGAGTGTCGAGTGTGCGTTTTTATATACATGGCATAAAGCTCTGGTAGGTGATAAAAAATCAGGTCGATAATTATAGAGGTTTCAAGTAGCGCGGAGAAATACTTTTTCCTATGTGAAACATTATGAAGCTGGAGGCAAAGTCGTGAAATTGAAAGGAGATAGTATAGTATAGTTGCACGCAAGGCACTTGTGTTTTGTAAAGGCACTTATAGTGTTATGTGAAGGCACTTGTTATGTTGTGTAAAGGCACTTGTTGTGTTGTATAAAGGTTTACATGTGGTTAGCTGTACTTCATAGATGACTTACTGATCGGTATCGCCATTAACAAAGAGTTGATGACCCCATATGGTCAACATGGGGTCTACAATGCCGTGTTTTGTGGTCTGAAAACTGTTAGAGATTACAGAGACAGGAGGAAAGTGAGCGCTCGACCGTACACGGGTTAATAGATTATAAGATTTATGTTATCATTAATTAGCATTAACCCTTAAAACAGCCAGTCCAGTTATTTTCAAAGAGATTCTCTATGTTTGCACGATATATTTTACTCTCTGTATATGTAGAAAAATTTGTAAGTGAAACAGACTGGTAATGTTGCCTAAAAGTTCGTAGTGTAGTGCCAGATTTTGCTAAATAGAAATCGTAGATATGATGATCATATACAATGAAATAGAGAAATTTCAAAATAAAAATTAAAATTTGCTGATGAAGAATTGCCATAGACAATTTTATATCGCGTGGTTGTGAAACGTGCGAGAAAACATAACCGAAATTGGAGGTTTGGAATTATTCCCAATTTTAATTTTAAGAAGCAATTTCGCATTTTCATTCGTTTCACAACATTGAAACATTCTCTGAAAATCTAACATATGCTTCGAGATAAAGAGTGCAAGTAGAAGTGCTCGTAAAAAATGCTACAAATGACGCATGCTCTAATTGTGTTAAGGGTTAACGAGTGCGCTTATTATAGAAGAAAATCGCATGCTAATATATTATTATTAGTGGTAAATCAATTTAATTCTTGATACATGTTTGTATAAGTATAGAGCAATATTTGTATATAAAATATAATAGATATATGATAGATATATAAAAGTTATCGTCAATTCTTCATACTTTTTTAGCAATATTTCATAAATAGCAAGTTATTAACATCGATATAAAAAGATAAGCTGCTACGGATTTATATATGTAGCTCCTAAACATTCGCGTAATTCCTACTTAATAATAAGAAAATTTCTAGAAGTGTGAATATTATCCATTTGTAAATAAAGATAGAGATTTGTAGATAAGATAGAAAGTAAATAAGATTAGTAAGAAGATTTGTAAATAAAGTCATTCAGTTTTATATAAACTTTTAAAATTTTGAACTTCTAAAATTTGTCATTTGTAAATAGAGTTTTTATCTTAGACTGCTTAATAATTGCACACTTCTAGAGAATATTATACACATATAT